GAACGTTCTACTCATGCCTGTCATCATTTCACCCAAGCCATTGCAACTATGGGATGTCCCCAAGCTCTTAAAACTGATAATGGTCCTGCATATACTTCTGCTAAATTTCAACAATTTTGTGCCTCTTGGAATATTCTTCACACCACTGGCATTCCTTATAACCCTCAAGGTCAAGCCATAACTGAGCGTGCCCATCAGACTCTCAAACAGCTCCTAAATAAACAAAAGGGGTAGGTGATGGGTCTAGAGTATGTGACCAAAATGAAAGACTTGCCAAAGCTCTCTTTATTTTTAACTTTTTATCGGTTGCTAAAGATGGTCATACTGCTGCAGAATGACATTTTATCCCCTCTGACACCCGACCTCACCCACAGGTCCTCTATAAAGATCCTCAGTATCCCTCTGTTTGGCAAGGACCTGTAGAATTACTAACCTGGGGGCGAGGGTATGCGGCTGTTTTGTCTCCTACAGGTCTGCTTTGGATTCCCGCTGGACTAGTAAAACCATATCATGACCCAGCAACAGCCGCCACCCATTCTCTTCCGTTGGGAGCTGCTGCCACTGCTCCAGCTGTGACTGGGGTCATGAGCTGACCCGACTCCAGGGTAACAACTGACACCATCACCCCCACCCCCGGGAAAGGATGGTGAACAACAGAGCTCTGCTACACTGGTAACATGGGGAGGTCTGAAAGCCCTCTCCTCCAAAGCTGAGCATGTCCTCTCAGCTACCGGTGCCCCACTTACACCTGAACACCTGTTTCTAGCTATGGTTTCCCTCGTGATAATCAATCCTCAATAGTCATCCTATATTATCTTGTTAATCAGTAATTTGTTAATCAGTAAGTTCCCAATGAAAATTTGTTATGTGTAAATTCCTCTATATTTTCTGCTTCTTCTAGACTAGATGCTTCTGTATAGATAGCTTTCTAAGCTAGATGATTCCTTTCCAATTGATAGTAAATTTGTGTAAATCAGTGTTTGTTTGATTGTTAAATCTGTTATGATATGTAAATTACCCTTCCTGGTGATTCCCTTCCAAGTAATGGCAAAGCTGTGTAAATCATTGCTTGTTTGATTGTTAATGAGTCTTTGAGCCTTTATAAATCTTTAAGCCTTTAAGAATAATAATTTCAGTGGATGTTAAGAGTTAGTGTTTACCTGACAAAATGAGAGTTAGAGGAAACCCATGAGTCCAATAATCAGGATATTACTAGTGCAGACGATTATATTATCCTCATAAGATCATCCTCTATTGTCTTACACACCTGAAAGGCACATTGAGTCCGCTTACTCCGGCTATACAATTGATAAGAGCATCACTCTTACTTAGTAACCTGGTGAAGAACCAGATGGTGTCCAGTGGAAAACCAGCACCGTGAGTTTAAAGAGCCTGC